TTCCCTTTTAAGTAAGGAAAAAGTCAAACCAAGCACCTCTGGATTGAACTTCTGATTAAAAATAGCCGGTCAGTCCGCACCTCGGAATATTAATATCTTGTGACTGCATGTACACACACACACACACACACACAGTGCATACAAAAACACGTTTATTCACATGGCTTCCAACTGAGTTTTAACTAAGAATCATGCTTTATATACGTTTCGACTATAAATATAATTTAAATCATCCATAAATCTTGCCAGTATCTACCTGTCCATCTACATATATATAATCAATATAAATTATATGATGAATAAACAACAAGATAATCACGAAACTAACCCCGTTTGCTTCATGATACTATCGAGAAACTCCGTCAGATTCTCCGTCACTCTCGAGCTAGCCTCCTCCCCCGTCATCTTCCCACGTAACTTCATCAAACTTTTCTTCATCTCCCCTCCATCATCCTCCATCACCTTCCTCACCCCCTCTTCAATCTCCTCCTTCGCAAACCCATTGTTGATCTGCACCCCAATCTTCCATACCTTCACGATATAAGCACAGTTCATGAACTGATCTCCGGCCACCGGAAAACACAACGACCGCTTCTGACACTCGACAGCCTCCATCGTTGAATTCCACCCGCAATGCGTCAAGTAACATCCCACCGCTGAATGTTGCAGAATCTCCATCTGCGGCGCCCATGAAACCACCTTTCCTTGTTCTGATACTCTTTCTAGAAACCCATTTGGGAGCTCGTCGCGCCAGGCTTGTGCCAGGACCCAGATGAATGGCCGACTAGAGGCTTCTAATGCGAGCGCTAGGTTTTTTAGTTTCGCTTCTCCGATTGGACTCACCCAACTGCCAAATGAAATGTACACCACCGACTCCGGTTTCTGCTTGCCTAACCATTCTACGCAGCTTCTATCTTCTTCCCAGAAGCTCGGATTCTTCGTCGCCGTTGCTTGTTTGATCAATGGCCCAACAGGGAAAACCAGTTGACTCTGATGATGGTTATAATGGCTGAAATGTTCTTGTTTATCGTTGCAGTCGCCGGAAGTCTCGTCAGGAAAGGAGTTGACTAGAAGCCACGGGAGGGTTTTGGAGCGGTCAAGGGTTCTTTTCCAAAAGTTAAATCTTGCTTTTCTTGCGGTTAGATTTCCGATCAGCCATGGAAGTTCTTCGGCGCATAGCAGAGGTTGGTTATCATGCAGAGAGACTGTTGTGCTGCCCAGATGTTTAGGACACCCTGCAAAGTTTAGATGAAGTACGACTAATTATGTTTCGTTGAAAATACTTATACTAATTAACAAAAAAAGTCGTAATTAATTATAATTAATCATTCGTTAATGAAAAGTTTTAAACTAGGCAGGCTGTAGAGCGACAATTATGCCACAAAATGTTAGTCAAACTCACATGAAAAACATTTAATTTGGTTTCCTATTTTTTCTTTAAGGAAATAATGATGCTTTTGGTCAATTTTTATTATTGAATTTTTTTCTCCATTTAGTTTCTGAAATTAATTTTTTTAGATAAGTTTAAACAGGTATTGATTTTTTTTTAATTTTTTCAAACAATATTAATGACCCCATTTCTGAAATTATTTCAGTCATTTAATTATTGGTTATATTATAAACATCTATATAAAATTATTTTTTATATAACAATTGTGAAAATTTTTGTAAAAATTATTTTCTTATATTTTAAATTTTATAAAAATTTAAATTTATGATTATGAAAGATTAATATATTTAATAAGAATAGTTAGTTTTTTTATTTATTTAAACCATACAAATAACAATAATAAATACAAAGAAAAAATGTGCAATAATTATTTTTGGAATAAATTTCTCAATTTATAACTCTAATTCACATTAAATAGAAATATCATGTTGCATTATCCAAACTAATTATATGTAACTTTTAATATTTTTGAAAAAGATTTAATAAAAAAAATTATTTTTTCAAACAATTTAATAAGTAAACATCAAATTATGAGTGGAAAAGTTTTTTAATTAAATTACAATATAATAAATTATTAGTATTTTAGACCAGCGATTCAGTCATCAACTTCCCTATTATAAATGTTTTCATTAATTCTCTTATTAACACTAACAAATACATTAATTAATGAATTAAATTAAATGATTATATACCGGAATCGGAAATGATGCCTCCCCGGACCATGTCCGGTATGCCGGCGATCAAACGATAAGTAGCAAGCATTGCCGGCCAAAACCCGGCGACTGGAATCCGATACCGATTAGCCACCTCGATTGCCCATGACGCCAGCAAGTCAACCACCATACACACCACCCTACTACCACGATCCTTATCGTCAACCATCTCATAAACCAGTCGCTCCAAGTGAAACGGCATCGTATCCTCCATTGCTTTCTCGATACCGAAGAAATCCCGCGCCGCCGCCTCTTTTGCAGGCCCGTCCGGTATTGACATGCACCAGACGCCGTCGTTAGGGTCCCGCCCGGAGACGATCAGTCGGTGAATGAACTCCGGCGTTACGAGAACCGGCTGGAAGCCTCTGGCGAGCAAGATGGAAGCAAGGTTGAGCATGGGAGTGACGTGTCCCAGTGCTGGATATGGAATAAGGAGGATTTTGGGCTTAGAGATCTTCGTGAACTTGATGTTGCCCATGTCTGAAAATTACACTGTTTGATCGGGAAGATTGATTGAGATAACAGAAAAAGTGTTGTCTGATGTTTGGCACATTGGAAAATTGAGAGCAGAAGGGATGATTATTTATAGGGAATTAAGTAAGAGAGGGAGAAACTTAGCATGTGGATCCGTACAGGCCAATTTCCCTGCCACTTATACTAACGTTGATTTAAAAAATGATTCAGCTAATGGATTGATTCCATGCACGAGATCGTACTGTATAATTTCCCGGCCGATTTCTTTTGTATCGAAGGTTTCTATTTTACAACGTTCCGTCAATTATTATTATTTAAAAAAAAAAATAACGAACAATGCATTTCTTAATTATATATTTTACTTAAGTTATATAATATTTTTATATAAATATTGTGTTTGGGAAAGAAATGTTTATAAAGTAAAAAATTTGCAAATTTAATGATATGTAAGTTATAAGTAAAGAAGAAAACATTAGGTTTTATATATTTTCAAGTATAAATCAATATTGAATTATATATGGTAAATTAAAATGAATGAAGTTAATCCAATTTGCAGTACATATGCATAGTATTCCATATGGTTTAACTTCTATAAATTAGACAATTAAAATTTAAAATTTAACAAAATTTGAAGTAAATAGGATGTTATTTACCAACACATTAATATTACTCAAGGTAGTCCCTTAAATATTGATATTATTATATTTTAATCTTAGAAAATTTGGCATGCATGCATATATGGGGTGGGTACATAAAAAAAAAAAAAACACGATATTAACTAATTATACATATTTATGTGTGTACGCAAATATACACTACCAACGTATATATATATATAGATAGATAGATATGTTGGTATCGCGTGTGTTGTGTGTCCAAGAGTTAGGCTGATGAGCACTGGGCTTGTTTTTATAATATTGAGCAATATGGGGAAGTATTTATTACACGTGCATGCATATATATATATATATGTATATGTATTACTTTTCTCTCTGCCAACTCCATCGACAGAAGATCAATAATATTGTATGACTGATGAGGTCCCGGTGTCACATCCCGTTCTTCTTTCTTATTTCACAGAAAACCTTCTTATTGCTTTCCGCCATCTCTTCTTATCTTCATGATGATGATGATTATGCATCCAATTAAAAGTTTACCATTTTGATAATCATATGGAATAGATAAATTAAATTAATTACAATATTCATGAATTATATATAACAAATATATTAAGCGGTAGCTTTAATATAGATGCATGGAACATGTGCTTAAACCCCAAAAAACGGTGGAAAGAGTCGTCCGTGCTCCATTCATACATATTTGTATGTATATATTTACACACATTATAATATTAATATCCACATGTTTATCAACTTCTGATTAATTTAATATTTTGGATATTTATTTTTCTATAAATTTTAATGAAAATGTCTTTCTATATATATATTTTTATTTAAATATTATTTATATCATTTTATGATTGATATTTATATATTTGTTAAATTGATAAATATATACATTACACCCTTAAAATTAAAAAATATATATTTACGTGTTAATTATTATTTTTAAAAAATAGATATATATTTATATAGACTTTTGTTATACCATCCAGCTTTTTTTTTAAGTTGAAAAACACTGTCAGCCGAAATGCTAACCACCCAATTGCAATGATAGGAGA